GAGCTGTTCTCTGTCGGTGTGTCTGTACACCCCGTTGCAGTATTGCTGCTTAAGGCTTTGCTTGCACACAGACGGCTTCATTTCGAGTCCACAGCTGAGACATACACCCCAGCAACAGCAGCAAAAAATTACGTGGGTGGTTCCGAGCAACCTTGAGGTGTACGGACACCATAAATTGTTGCTGCATATCCATCGGTTTTTTAGTTTTTCCTTTCTTTGTTTTGTCACCACAGAGACGGAGCTGCGCTGCGCCTGACGGAAGACCATAAGCCGAATAACCCCAGCGAAAAGAAACGCATCGAGGCAGCAGGGGGGCAGGTAAATAAAGCGAGATGGATCGGCTACACAGCTGCATGTATACGTGAACTCTGCATACTGTGTATGCATGCACCTATACAGGGACTGTCGTGCACAAAACATACGCAGGGGGTTCTGTATTTCATGTTTCAGTTAGCAGCATACATCGGGCCTCCACAGGACTCGTTGGGACGATGCATGCCTCTTTAAAGAATGTTTACTGCCGTAAGAAATGTAAAAGTATGCACGGAGGCGACGAGTGTCGTAGCGTGCGGTGTACGCACACAGTACCTTTCGGCGGTGATTACCAACGGTCATCAGGCTGGGGCGTGTGCGCCTGTGTTGTGATTTTCCCTTTTGATTCACTTTCTTTTTCTGTGTTTCTGTTTCTAAACTTGTTTCTTCTTCTTTTATGTTTATTTGTTTTTGCAGGTGGCGTCCATACAGGGTATCTGGCGAGTGCTTTCCTCAGACTCCCGCAGAAACCGCACCTTTGGGCTTTCCACTGCTCGGGCTTTGGGGGACTCTGCGCTCAAGAAGCCGAAACCACTGGTCATATCTCACCCCACGGTGCATGTGTACACGCTCCACTTCGACAGAGACGCGTTCCTGGTGAGTCGTTGCTTGCTCCTCATGCGCTGGGTGTCACTACCCCAGCTGCTGCTGTCGCTGCTTCTTTTCTTGATGCTAGTTGCACTGTTGTTTTGCTTACTCGATGAGGAGAAAATACGGAGAGGCCAGAAATCAACAGGGTAGCGGTGAAACGGTGTCTCCGCTTCGTTTTGCAC